CCGCCGCACATTCATCTATCTCTCCTTCCTCCTCCTTCACTGCAAATTCAAGATGGACAAATTGCCCTACTTCCACCGTTCATGGTGACAATCCTCCGTCGCCATACTCGCCTTTTGTTCCCTTGTCTTTGTGGGTTTTATCTTCATCTTTTTCTACCGATCTCCCTCCTCCAATCCCGTTTCCTCCGATCCTTCTCGCTTCGCACCTACCTTGGGGTGGACTCGCCTGGTATAAACGGGTCAAATCATCCGCCCAATTCTGTGCCCGCCACGGATTATCTGTTCTCATCACCGGAGCCGCCGGTTTATGGGTACCCATGTTTCGGCCGCCTTCAATCGATGTGGTGGAGACGGCGTTCTGAGACTGGACAACTTCAACGATTAAGAGAGCCAGGAAAACCCTTATATTGCGCCGATAAAGGAGTTGAGGAGATGGTATATTTCACCTGCTCTGTTATTGTGATCCTCTTACCTTGATTCAAGGAGATGGTACACTCTCTCTCACAATCTTGTAGTCTTGTTCATCGTTGTTCTTATGAAATTTGAGGTAATGCTTGAAGAGATGTTTCCATTGTCGTATTTACCTGCAATGTTCATCGTTCGGTCTCGGTTTAGGCTCGAATCAGAAATTTGGAGTTTGATTTTGTTTGTTACTCGATTTCGTAGACTCAAATTCATGTATAGGTTGAGTTCCAGTAGCTATGGGTTCATAATTTAATTGTTTTTGTACATCCATTGTTTCCTTCTTAGTGGTTGAAGAACTCAATCTCTTGTGTTGATTACTTGAGTGTTTRAGGGATGTCTCGCTTTCACCCACTTTRACCCATTGATGATGCAGAGAGCGATGGAGATGGAGGTCTCATAAAGATCTAAGTGCTTTGCATTTTTMTCAAGAGATTRAAGCTCATCAAGGATCYTGTCTTACTCTCTGGTTCCCTTGCAAGATCCGTATATGGAACATATCAAACTGTCAAGTAGTGGAGTGGAATTATCTTCATTCTCTATCGAATTATATAATGTGATGTTTTTTAGTGAAATGTAATTACCAAATAATAAATCGTCAGTTTTGTGGATTTTCTTATGTGAAACCGGTTCGCAAACAAGTTTCATCATTTGATAGTTCAATAACTAGAACAAAGTGTTTTTAGTCTTATCAAATCTCTAAATATGTCATAGCCATTCAAAAATTAATAAAAAGAACATTATTAATACACAATCAATAATTAAGATCTAGATTCATGAAAAAATA